TGTTTTTTTTTTTCTCTCCTACTGCCAAGTTTTATCCATATTTACCATTAACATTGTCCTCGACATCGTCAGCAACGTCATCGTTTACCACTCAGGTTGTCGTAGTTGAGCAACAGCAATAGTCTTTTTTTTTTTGCAACAACAACGATACAACGACGACGATGTTGTCATCAATGTCACATACAGCTGAATGAAATCCAAGTAAATTTTACCAACATCGTTAATGTTTCTGGTGGTGGTATTGGCGGTGCTGTTGTCGTCGTCAGCATCATCATTAAGTGTGGCATGTGTTCGTTGTGGCGAGAGAAACATAAGTAACTACAAACAACTTGTAGTATAAATTATATTTTGTGTCCTATTTGAAAATGGGCAGTAATATAGGTTAGGTTGTGTGGATTGCTCTCAAGTTAGCGATTTCACTCCTACCCTTACTCTTAGAATTAGTATTTCCCTATGTTAAGAATACATACATAAAAGGATAAAAAGTTTCCCTCCCTAGGTTCATTGACTATGTGATTCCTGTAGTCCCCATGAGAACCAGCCGGTGCTAATAAATCTGATCATATTTACCAGTGACACATCTCTGAGACTGTCCAGATCATCGGAAAGAGCTCTACTAAGATATAGTGGTGGCCTCCGGTAGGTTAGTGGTTAGTGTTCTAGTCTGGTAGACCGGAGGTGGTGGGTTCGATTCCCACCTAAGGCACTGGTTAAGGAGCGCACAACAGGCCCGATAGAGGCCTAGGTGTATTTCTTCGGATTTGATGTATATACATCCTCCTTTCAAACTAACTAACTAACTAACTAAGATATAGTAGTCTACGCTCTTGTACGGCTACAACTTGGGTAACCAATACGTTCCGACATGTGTCTAATTATACAATGAGCAGTGATTAGAACCGCCAGAAACATAATCGAAACTGGATATTCTACATATAATTATATGTAACCATTTGAGTTCCGTCTTTCCTCGGATGCATCATGACCTGGGACCCATATGAACTCGACGTGACACGGCATCAATTGTGCCAGTAATGGATACAATTGAGATACAAACGTTGTAGTCAATAGAATTTTGAGTAGAACAGACTAATTAATAGTTATTTAGTTAGTTAGTTAGTTAGTTAGTTAGTTAATTAGTTAGTTACTTAGTTAGTTAGTTAGTTAGTTAGTTAGTTAGTTAGTTAGTTAGTTAGTTAGTTAGTTAGTTAGTTAGTTAGTTAGTTAGTTAGTTAGTTAGTTAGTTCGTTAGTTAGTTAGTTAGTTAGTTAGTTAGTTAGTTAGTTAGTAGTAGTTAGTTAGTTAGTTAGTTAGTTAGTTAGTTAGTTAGTTCGTTAGTTAGTTAGTTAGTTAGTAGTTAGTTAGTTAGTTAGTTAGTTAGTAGTTAGTAGTAGTTAGTTAGTTAGTTAGTTAGTTAGTTAGTAGTAGTTAGTAGTAGTTAGTAGTTAGTTAGTTAGTTAGTTAGTTAGTTGTTAGTTAGTTAGTTAGGTTAGTTAGTTAGTTAGTTAGTTAGTTAGTTAGTTAGTTAGTTAGTTCGTTAGTTCGTTTCGTTCGTTCGTTCGTTCGTTCGTTCGTTGTTCGTTTCGTTCGTTCGTTCGTTCGTTTTCGTTCGTTCGTTCGTTCGTTCGTTCGTTCGTTCGTTCGTTCGTGTTCGTTCGTTCGTTTTTTTCGTTCGTTCGTTCGTTTCGTTTTCGTTCGTTCGTTCGTTTCGTTTCGTTCGTTCGTTCGTTCGTTCGTTCGTTCGTTCGTTAGTTCGTTCGTTTCGTTCGTTCGTTCGTTCGTTGTTCGTTCGTTCGTTCGTTCGTTCGTTCGTTCGTTCGTTCGTTTTTCGCGTTCGTTCGTTCGTTCGTTCGTTCGTTCGTTGTTCGTTCGTTCGTTTTCGTTCGTTCGTCCCGTCCCCCCTCCTCGCCTCCTCCGTCGGTTCGTCCCTGCCCGCCTCCCTTGCCTCGCCTCTCGTCTGCCCCCCCTCCTCCTCCCCCGCCTCGTCCCTCTCTTCGTCCTCCCCTCCTTAGCCTCCCTCGCCCCCATCGCCCTATTAGTTAGTCCAAAGACTGATACATATACCAGTTAATAGACTAGTACATAGGTTATTCTATAGAACAGTAAAGAGACTAATCGACTAAATCGCAGACTAGTCAAATGACTAGTCTAAAACTAGACGGGAAACTAATCAACAAAGAAAAGTATGTAGGAGCAAAATATATAGATTTCTCCCGAGAAACCTACTACAAATATTTGTGTAGCATCATACTATCATCATAGCATTTCGCATTGAAATTCGACCAACCTTGACCAACTATAATTCTCTCATATATTAATTATATGTAGTATGTGTAAATATGATTCTACCCAGCTAGCATTTTCTTTCAAAAAAGGATCTTCCGCGATTGGAGGTGGCGACTAAATTAATCTTCCACGATATCGTATTCCAATTACGAAAGTTCAACGCAACGGGAGTAACTGTGTCACAGCCGCGACTCTTCTCTATGAATCGTCTACGATGTGTTAAAAAGAGTCTTGACACAATCGTCTTAATGAATCTTCTACGATGCGATAAACAGAATCTTTACACAATCGTCTTAATGAATCTTCTACGATGCGATAAACAGAATCTTTACAAAATCGTCTTAATGAATCTTCTACGATGCGATAAAAAGAATTATAGAAGAGTCTTGGAACGATCGTAAAGAAGATTTTAATTGATCCTAAAATGCCTAAAAATATGCTAAAAATAAAAAGTATTGATATTCGTTTTATACTGTTTATTGCATTGGCATTTTTTGTCAACTTTAAATAAAAAAAATAAAATTAAATATAAATTTGAATTCAATTATGAAAATAAATACATACATATGAATAATGGAAATAATTATGCAATAGAAAAATTATTAAAAAATAAAGTTATTTTTATAAATTTGAATTCAATTATGAAAATAAATACATACATATGAATAATGGAAATAATTATGCAATAGAAAAATTATTAAAAAATAAAGTTATTTTTCAGCCAAATCGTCAATTTTCTTGGCTTCATCAATCTTTTTGGTTCGGTCACTCTTTCTGAGACGGTCACCAGCATGAACAAAATGTTGTTGTAATACCTTATTTATACCTGCATCATCAGCTTTCGGAAATTTTGAATGGCAGACACCTTTAAAAAGAAAATAATTAGAATTCAGTAAAATCATGTTATAAAAAATACTTACTTGTTATAATTTTCGTTATATTGAATTCCTGAATACTGGGCTTACTGTTCGTTCCACGCCAACTCAATTTTGCAGCCACATCATCGCTCAGCATTTTTTTAATTGCATTCCTGACAAACGAGTTGGAGCTGTCGCCACCCACTTTACCAATAACGTATTTCTGTAAAACTTTTGATATGAATATATGTATATATGTATGTTTATATTAAAAAATATGTATATAGACGGATAATTATATACATACCAATTGAGCTACAAGATCCACGTTCTCTTCTATTTGTTTATGTAATTCTTCCAACTGTTTTACAGTTTTTATGGGTAAAGGTGGCACTAAATTGGTTTTAATTTCCTCAGAATAAATTAATTTTAACTGACGCACTTCATTTCTTACGGTTATCACTTCCTCTGTTAGTCTGCCGATTTGCTGTTTTAGCGTGCGCACTTCTCCTAAAATCTCCGTCAACATATTTTGTTTACTATCTGAAAGAATTAATGTAATATAAAGTATAATGAATGAAATTATGACATTTATAATGTTCTTATACCTGTCTGATTATCTGGCGGTTTGTTTTGTATTTGTTGCAATTCACTTCTTCTATATATTCAACTGGAAAATTATCGCAAACGGATGATGTTTCAGTGAAATCCGATTCAACCAATTTTTCGAAAGAACTGACTTTCATTGGGACATCATCGCAATCAGATGTTTCCCTGCCTTTAACTTGTTTTTTGGATGATCCATCCCACTTCATTATAAGCAGACTCCATCATTTTTTTTGCTTCTCGTTTGCTTTTTAATCTTATTGCTTTATTTGATAGCATTATAAATTATTTTATATTATAAATTTAATTTTTGATTTCTAATAAAACACTTTTTAGTTAATACACTTAGTATTTATAAGAAACTTTATTAAAAATTAAATTTTTAATTTAATAAACTTCAAAAACCACTTTTTATTCTTACTTGTCTCGACACTGATTATAAACTGAGTTGAAAAGAAGACAAAATAATTTGTTTTTGCTAAACGTTTATACGTATAACGGTAAAATTCGCCCAACTATCTCCAGAATCCGTAATCGGCGATTGTTGCGTAATATAAATAAACCGGTTTGACAATAATATATGCATCATTTGGAAGAGTAAAATATGATCGTTGACTAACAACAATCCTCCGATGATCGCTAAAATACATAAGCGACGACTAATTCGTTCAACAATCGCCAAAATTACTCGCAAAAGCATCTTTTGGTACATTAAAATATATATTTTTTTAAATAATCGTCAGGACGATTATAAAACGAGTCACAAAATGAAACAATCGTCTGGAAGATTGAAAAAAGATTCACAAAATGAGGACAATCGTGTGGACGATTAAAAAAATAGTCGCAAAATCATCGCGCTCGCCAATGAATCATGTAAATGCTAGCTGGGTAAGTATGAGTTTATTTTTGAGGTGGTGTTAAGCTCTACAAATTTATTGTACCGAACTGAAAAGACTCATAACCCAGCTAGCATTTTCTTTCAAAAAAGGATCTTCCGCGATTGGAGGTGGCGATTAAATTAATCTTCCACGATATCGTATTCCAATTACGAAAGTTCAACGCAACGGGAGTAACTGTGTCACAGCCGCGACTCTTCTCTATGAATCGTCTACGATGTGTTAAAAAGAGTCTTGACACAATCGTCTTAATGAATCTTCTACGATGCGATAAACAGAATCTTTACAAAATCGTCTTAATGAATCTTCTACGATGCGATAAAAAGAATTATAGAAGAGTCTTGGAACGATCGTAAAGAAGATTTTAATTGATCCTAAAATGCCTAAAAATATGCTAAAAATAAAAAGTATTGATATTCGTTTTATACTGTTTATTGCATTGGCATTTTTTGTCAACTTTAAATAAAAAAAAAAAAAATTAAATATAAATTTGAATTCAATTATGAAAATAAATACATACATATGAATAATGGAAATAATTATGCAATAGAAAAATTATTAAAAAATAAAGTTATTTTTCAGCCAAATCGTCAATTTTCTTGGCTTCATCAATCTTTTTGGTTCGGTCACTCTTTCTGAGACGGTCACCAGCATGAACAAAATGTTGTTGTAATACCTTATTTATACCTGCATCATCAGCTTTCGGAAATTTTGAATGGCAGACACCTTTAAAAAGAAAATAATTAGAATTCAGTAAAATCATGTTATAAAAAATACTTACTTGTTATAATTTTCGTTATATTGAATTCCTGAATACTGGGCTTACTGTTCGTTCCACGCCAACTCAATTTTGCAGCCACATCATCGCTCAGCATTTTTTTAATTGCATTCCTGACAAACGAGTTGGAGCTGTCGCCACCCACTTTACCAATAACGTATTTCTGTAAAACTTTTGATATGAATATATGTATATATGTATGTTTATATTAAAAAATATGTATATAGACGGATAATTATATACATACCAATTGAGCTACAAGATCCACGTTCTCTTCTATTTGTTTATGTAATTCTTCCAACTGTTTTACAGTTTTTATGGGTAAAGGTGGCACTAAATTGGTTTTAATTTCCTCAGAATAAATTAATTTTAACTGACGCACTTCATTTCTTACGGTTATCACTTCCTCTGTTAGTCTGCCGATTTGCTGTTTTAGCGTGCGCACTTCTCCTAAAATCTCCGTCAACATATTTTGTTTACTATCTGAAAGAATTAATGTAATATAAAGTATAATGAATGAAATTATGACATTTATAATGTTCTTATACCTGTCTGATTATCTGGCGGTTTGTTTTGTATTTGTTGCATATTTGTTATATAAATAATATTAGGATCTAAATAAGACTCGACATTAGTTTAAAATACATATATACATATGTTAATGCTTTATTTACCGTTAACTGTTGTTAGTGGAGTACTTTCCATTTCTTGAGCGACGTCATTGGAATCTAAAATGAACTTGAAATTAGTTTTAAATATTAAATAAAATATGTTAAAATCTTACCACAAATCATAGAGCAGTTCTCCATGGTGTATTTCAGGAAGTAATGCGATTTGTTTGTTTACTTTGTCGTCTTTTAAGAAAAAAATCTGTTAATGCATCTTTAAGGCCGTAGTGTACATATTTTCCGTCTCCCATTGGTTTGGCTAATACCTCTTTTGGTGTACCTTTTAACGTCCTTACATCTTTTGGAACTTTAATATCGCTTTCTATAAGAATTTCCAATAACTCGTTGACCACAGTTGTAGTTAACCCGTGTTTTACTGTCCAAAGTCTAATTTTCTCTTTCACACTTTCATTACTCGGCCAATTCACTTCTTCTATATATTCAACTGGAAAATTATCGCAAACGGATGATGTTTCAGTGAAATCCGATTCAACCAATTTTTCGAAAGAACTGACTTTCATTGGGACATCATCGCAATCAGATGTTTCTCTGCCTTTAACTTGTTTTTTGGATGATCCCACTTCATTATAAGCAGACTCCATCATTTTTTTTGCTTCTCGTTTGCTTTTTAATCTTATTGCTTTATTTGATAGCATTATAAATTATTTTATATTATAAATTTAATTTTTGATTTCTAATAAAACACTTTTTAGTTAATACACTTAGTATTTATAAGAAACTTTATTAAAAATTAAATTTTTAATTTAATAAACTTCAAAAACCACTTTTTATTCTTACTTGTCTCGACACTGATTATAAACTGAGTTGAAAAGAAGACAAAATAATTTGTTTTTGCTAAACGTTTATACGTATAACGGTAAAATTCGCCCAACTATCTCCAGAATCCGTAATCGGCGATTGTTGCGTAATATAAATAAACCGGTTTGACAATAATATATGCATCATTTGGAAGAGTAAAATATGATCGTTGACTAACAACAATCCTCCGATGATCGCTAAAATACATAAGCGACGATTAATTCGTTCAACAATCGCCAAAATTACTCGCAAAAGCATCTTTTGGTACATTAAAATATATATTTTTTTAAATAATCGTCAGGACGATTATAAAACGAGTCACAAAATGAAACAATCGTCTGGAAGATTGAAAAAAGATTCACAAAATGAGGACAATCGTGTGGACGATTAAAAAAATAGTCGCAAAATCATCGCGCTCGCCAATGAATCATGTAAATGCTAGCTGGGAAAGTTCATATGAAAACCTCAACAACCAACATGTATGTATATATGTTTGTGAATGCAATATGTTTTACGCGAATCTCTGTTATGGAAACTGTGGATTTTATTAAGACAAATATTACATCAAGAAGAGACAAAATAAGGATGTTTTTATTTTTCATAAACATTCTTTTATTTAAGGAATTTCAAAAAGAGCGATACGGATTGGAGTAGGGAAAAATTAAACTATCTTTACATAGAACGAAGATATGATCGATAATTTCCTGTATTTTAATGCTTAAAACTTAAAAGTTTAAAAAATATTTTCAATATATATTTAATAAAGAAATAATTTTTTCCCCCACCCTATGCGATTATTTGTAAACGAATTTAAAACATTTACTTGCAACCTTACGCATTCCCATGTCTTTTGGCCAATCAATTTCTCATACGAAAAAAAAGTAAAAAATATTAACAATATACTTTAGTTGTCATAACAACGGTGTAAAATTGGTTTATTATAAATATCTTCGGTTGTTTGAGTTGGTTGTTTAAAAGCCATGAAAGTATCTACCGACCGACGGACAACCATACAATCAATTCTTTATTGTAATATTCGAGAGTGTACAACAAGATTGTCCCCCCCCCCAAAAAAAAGCCCTTAAGCTTTAATACACACATTTGTATGTAAGATGGACGGACATAAATGTTTATCATACGCAAAATAAAATCTTGTTCGCAAAAATGTATTTTACTTGTAATTTGTGTTGTAGTCATTGGTAAAAGATGAAAAAATATGAAAAATATCATAAATTTTAAAAATATGCGAAAAATAATTGCTTTAATTGTCAAGTTTTTTTTTTTCTACAACAAAAAATGAGTACAATTAAAAAGCTAAAGAGGACGGTTATTGATAAAATTATACGACGAACACTTGTTTGAGAGTCCTTTAATTGATGTTAATGGATTTTTTGTTGAGAAAGTTCAGAATAAGTGTATAACAATAAGTAGCAGATTAAATTACAGAAATAAAAGAGAGAGAGAGAGAGAAGAATATTAATATGTGTTTGTTTGTTTCTCACTAGTTTGTAAATCTGACTAAATCGGTGCGAGGTTTTTTCGTTCTTCAAACCATTCTATGTGAAACCCCGGAGCATGTTACCTTGATGAACTTTCCTTGGTGTGATTGCAATCTGATGATGCCAAATGTAACCTCGGACTTTCCTTGGAATGATTTTATCTAGGGTCGAACCATAGAACCTATATTATCTGAAACCACTTGAATCTCAGGGCCCCGTTTATTGTAGAGATTCCTTCCCAAATGGACAGCGAAACCTATATTTTTAGCATCTAAGCGTTAAAAATGGTGGTTGGTGTCAAACTAATAAGATAAGTAATGAATGAAGGGTTATATGGACCACACTCAACCCATATATCTAGAATGAATGTACATATTGTATAAATTAGAAAAGTGCTGGGTTTGATTGGTGTTGGATGTAAGATATCTTATACAAGTGACACCATTGAATTTCCCTCTTTGTAAAGGTATGACCAGGGTTAACTCTGTTTATACCAGACTTACCACATTCCGGTCTACCGATTACGTCTCTATCTGTTGCCGACAACAGTATCTGCTTAATTGTAAACGGAGAGGATGTTTTTGCATCTCAGAAGTTACGCAACGGGCAGCGATGGTTAGAGAATAGATAGCTCAAGTCACAAAGGGGCGATGGAGGAGTAACTTCGGTGGTATGCTTTAAATAAGTTTAGATCACAATAACAGGATGTTGAGTCTTACACGGATGTGTAGACCATCTGTGTGTGTGTAATAGATTGATTGATGATGGATGTATTCTTACCATTGTATTATCGATAATTCTTAATATAAGTTCGGATTTCTGGACATTACATATGATTCACCTTACAAATATGTCGGACAATATGTCTGTGTGATGGTTTGATTGGTGATGTCTGTACAGTATTTTTGTCCTTGTGTTAACCTCCTTAGTCAGACTATGCTTAAGGGTTTATTCTGTTCATCCCCAACCTAACGCAACGTGTCCCCTTTAGGTAAGAAAGCGTTATATTGTGGTTGTATGTATATTGTCTTCATATATATGTATATGGTCTGAAGATTACCGGATATTCAACAACTTCTATGGTCAGAGATTTGATATGTAAAAGAGATCAGAAGCGAAAAAATTTTCAAAGTTACAATTCGTCTCTGGCTTATACTGTGGTTAAAAAAGTCCACCGTTAATTTGGTCCATCAAGGTGTGTTCTAATGTAAAACACTACAGGAACTTTTGGAGTGATAGTCCTTTTCGGAAGATTGTTCTATATATATAGTCTTTCGTATTAGAAGTTCAGTGGGTCACTTATGATCCGTTCTCTATTGAAATAGTAAATAATATCTTCCAAGAGGGGTAATATGGCAGCTTGGGACCTTATATGATTGCTGGAGTTTATTATAGACCGATCAACTCAAAATTGGTATAGAGAATTGGTTTCCTATAAAACTAATTTGTGGCTAATTTCATTGCTGCACTTGTGTTTTTAAGTCAATTTTGAGTCATATAGACATTTTCAGAATGAGACCTTATATAAGGAGGGGTCATTTATGGAACGATCAAGAGATTTGTATTCTTATAAAATTTGTTAGGTCGAATAGCATCGCTATACTACTATTATTAAGATAGTTAGGTGAATTAAATTCATTTTCTTAAGGGGACTTTATAGGAGGAGTAGGGTCAATGATGTCCGCCATACATTACATTATAATTTCTGATCATATAAAGCTAACTTGACCAAAATTTAACGATTTCTGACTAATTTACGTATTTATGACTCTTTGAACTATATTCCGGGGCGGCACTTGTATATTAGGTGAAATACTGAACCGATATATATGTGTATATATGTATAAAGACTTCTAAATAGCTGGACCTATTTTATTGAAATTTTCACAGACTCTTCCTCTTGTATGTCTGGAAGGAAATAAAGGCTTCTTTTTATTTCGAAATTTCAAGTAGGCAGGATGCCACGCCCACATACAAAATAAGTATTTATTTTGACAGGAACTACAATAGCTATAGTTGGGGACAAATATTTAACAGCTATACCCCTCAAATTGTTTGCGGAGCCATTTTAGTATCAATCAACTTATAACAATGTGAACACTTTAAGACCAAATATGGGCGGATTTGCAATAAGAGGCGTGCCACCCCAATTATAATTAGTTACAAAAATTTTTATATCTGAGAAACTATTTGAGCTAGAATCTTGAAATTTTGCACCAAGATTTTATATATGTGAACATTAAGAGGGGCTTGGCAAATTCCGCAAGAATTAAATACAAACATTCGTTTATCTGTGAAACTGTTAGAACTAGAATCCTCAAATTTTATGCAAAGAACTTTAACATCCATTAGAACATTATGGGGAAAATGGGTAAACTACCGAAAAAATTCGACATCAATGTGTATAAATTGGTAGTGATCAATTAAAAAAATTCGTATATCTGGAAAATTATTAGAGCTAGAATCCTCTAATTTTGCACTAATCATGTGAACACTTGGAAAAAAAGTGACGGATTTGCAATAGTGGCCTTGGCACCAGAGATACAAGTCGAGACGGCTCAAATCTAAACTCCAGTCCATTTAAAAACATATTTATCATCTTGTGTGGTACACTTTAATGCATAAATAGTTTCATTTCTGATCTTTAGAGATATTAAATTATTACCATTTATATTAAATATTAATTGACAAATTAATAGAGTTCAATCAGTAATAAATCACTATAAATTTTTCTTAATTATAGTTTATTAAAATAAAAACGGCTACGCCTTTGAGTCTGTGGCATGTACATTCATATGTATTCCTCATCTTTCTTGTGGCAGATCTTTATTATTTTACTTTTTTTTCCATAACTCTTGATATGAATGAGGCTACAGCAGACAAGGCATAAATACTA